TCAATATACAATGCGCTGCCTTATGTTTGGGAATTTAAATAATTTTCAATTAAAGGCATGCGTAATGTACAGAAAAATGTTCGTTTGATCATAATGGTGGGTATACAATATTACCTGATGTCGGAACATGTCATGACTTGAAGGTTGACTGCTTTAATGTATACATTTCATAACAAAGATCATTATACTGCTTAATGTGCCACGTAATAAAGAAGGCAACTTATTTTTTTTTTAAGTGGACAGCAGATTTGCAAGTAGCATCCTCAAATACCAGTGATTAGACATGGTTTAATGTGTATCCCTTCTTTTCTTCTTTTTCTTCGTTCTTAAGGTTAGTGTTGGAAAAGTGGCTGTCCCCAGCTAACGAGCCTCATCTACCTGAGGGTTCGAAACTGTTCCGTTTAGTAACCATGAACTTCCGAAGAGCCTGGTGCGTCGGACTCCCAAGTCCCCTACATAATAGCGTGGGGGAGGAGAGGTGCAAGACTGCCGGGAACCAAGAAGGGTTTGCTCTCGACCCTAACCAGATATTTTGACTTTAAGCTGCGGCCTTCACGTGGCTTCGGAAGAGTGCCACTAGTCGGACCAAGCCCATGACCCCCCTAATGGGTGCGGAATGGCTAGTGGTAGCCAACCGCAGCTAGAGGTTTTTGATCTGGCCGAGTAGAACTGCTGTATGCGCTAGGTTCAAAGAATGGCCGAACGCCCCCCACGATCAAGCTGGGTACCAGGCGGTAGGACGACGTCCCGCGTCTGGTGGGTGGGGAAGGAAAGCCCGGTGAGAGCCGACGGAAGTAGCGACCGATGTGTGGGAAACTCTTTTGGTCAGAGTTTGTTACACTGAGGCCTGCCTGGCTAATGGAAGTCAACCTTCTGAGCCGGTTTCCGTATATGGAAAGAAGTAACCATGAACTTTACCGACTCGACCACGCCCATCCCGATTTTCATACCTATTTGAACATTGTGTAGAATATTTTTTTCTATGATTTTTTTCTTTAATCAACATGATATTATCGTTTATTTTTGTGAGTAATCAAAGAACAGGGGAAATTAAAAGTTTAAATTCCTGATTCAGTTATATCCCTTTATGTAGGAATAATTGAGCGGGAAAACTATTTAATTTTTATTTATGTTCACACCTATTTGAAAACCGTTTAGTATAAATTTTAAAAGGCTTTTCTTTTATCCAAATTGTTTCTTCGTTTATTTTTGCGTGTAGTTAAAGAACGGCGGAAATTAAAGTTTGAATTCCTGACCGGGTTACGTCCCTGTAATAATTAAAATTGAGGAGTAAAAGCGTTCAATTATTAACCCCTTAATATAACATTTCTTAGAATATGGTATTTTTCCATGTGCTTACAGCACCATAGCTATCTCCTTACCAAATATCAACTTTGTGTGACATGTCTAAGTGGTAAATCTAATTTAAGCACTTTAAAAAATGTATAGTTTATATAAGACCGTGGTCACTCTAGGTCAGTTTTGGGCCACTTTAAACTCGATTATTGAGATGAGTCTAATTTTCCCGTTAAAAAGAGAGTGAACAGCAAACGTTGTCAAGAATAATTTCCATGCAACTTACCTGCATATACCCGATCTAATAGTTGTGAGTAGCAAACAGACAAACCAAACAAACATCACCCACTTTGCTTTTACAGATACAGATTTCTGTAGTATTATATTTCCTAGGTACACATGGACGATACTTGAACAGAAAAATTCACTCGAGATTGTGTTAGTAGTAGACACCGATTAGCAAACAATACTCACACTTAGATATGTACAGCGTATTAATTAGTGATCTCACGATGTTAATTAAAATTTCACACAATTTTTTGGTTTATTAGCTCATTATAACTATGCTTTTTGTTTTAACCCTATATATTAAATTTGTTTTACTATTATAAAAAATAGTAATTAACATTCCGTTTTTGTTTTTTCTTCGAAGATCTTTGTTTATAATAAAGGAGACGATATATTAGCGTGTGTGGTGGGATGGGGGGGGGGGGGGGGGGGGAAGGGGGGGGGGGTTCAGCCCTGTCACTCTGTCACTGGGAATACACTTGTTGACGTAGAATCTCCCCAGTGACGTAAGCAGCTGGTTCCAGCGTGGGACATGTCTGTAATTGGAAATGCCAAAAACAGCCAGTCGTAAATTCTGTTTACTGTCAATTTTTTTTTTATATTTTTGTTATATATTTTTGTTAGCCGAATTAGTCCATTGTGTTAGGCCCACAGCTCAATGTTTATAATCGAGATGCGCATGTACATATTAAAACTAGACCAAGAGTTATGGTTCCTGACTTACTAAGTTTAGGTTTTTTAGTACATTTTACGGAGTTGTTGGCCTCTGTTTAGTTCAAGACTAAGGTTTAGCAAGAAAGTAAACAAATTATATGTGAAAATTTTCTGTTTAGTTCACGTTCAGCAAGAAAATAAACAAATTGGATGAGAAAATTTTCTGTTTAGTTCAAGAAAATAAACAAATGAGATGAGAGAATTTTCTGTTTAGTTCAAGTTCAGCAAGAAAATAAACAAATTGGATGAGAAAATTTTCTGTTTAGTTCAAGAAAAAAAACAAATTAGATGAGAAAATTTTCTGTTTAGTTCAAGTTCAGCAAAAAAAAAAAAAATTAGATGAGACAACTTTCTATTTAGTCCTGGACGAAGGTTTTCCAAAAAGTAAACAAAATGAATGAGAAAATGTTCTGTTTCGTCCAAGATTACTGTTTAGCAAGAGCACAAAGATCTCCTACATGAGTTACTCCGGATTGTTCACTTAAGCAACCATAAACTTTACCGACCCGAACACGCCGACTCCAACTTTCTCATGTGAAACTACCACATTTTCTCCCTCTCGCCTAGCTAAACTTTACCGTCAGTCGTGTACAATCAATACATCTCTTACACAATAAAATAAACGATCGTAGACGATTTAAGCACGACTTGTCATCAATTTTTAATCCCTCCCACTCTGTCGTGTTTTGTTCATGTCTTCGACTATGTTAGCAGAGCTTTAAAATCTTGTTTGAAATCTGAACATAGTTTTTTAAAACAAGGAGATGCAAACAAATATGACATCAACGGAGTTATTTTTGTTTAATAAATCTTAGTTTAACTTGGATAAGAAAGGAGTATGCAGTGTTTCCAGCTACTGTAAGAAAGCTACTAAGGGAAATGTACATACACTCTGTGGTATAGTAAGAAAAACTGTAACCTACATGATGGAAATCGGAGAGTAGGCAAACAAGAGTTATACAAAAAACACACATTTTCAACAAGTTCTTTTTAAGATCAGAGTTTTTTTCCAGGGATCTCAGTGTTTTTCAAGGGGGGGGGGGGGAGTGCGGACTACATTTTCCCGGAGGGGGGGGGGGGAGCGAGCTCCCCCCCCCGAAGAAAGTCTACCGCCCGCCCGCCCGCCCGCCCGAACGAGATGGAATTTATATAGCAAACATGTACTTTGACTAGTGCCCCCCCCCCCCCCCTCAGGAAAATGTAGTCCGCCCCCCCCCCCCCGAAAATATTAAGTACCCCCGGAGAAATACTCTTTAAGATCCCTCTCCATCTCCCTTTATATTTGTATTTATGTGCTTTCTACTGTTACGAAAGATCTATTTTTTATAACATTATACTTGAATATTCATATTTACGTTAGTTTTCTTAGAAATCTATCGCCTGATATTAAAATTGTGTTTAAAATTATAATTATTTATAGTAGAGGATGGGGACGGCGTGGTCGATTGGTAGATCTTATGATGCAAAAAGACATGAGGTCGGATCCCGAGCTCGAGTCTGTAGGAAGTCGTTGAGTCTACCCAGCTCTGAAGGGTACCTGGCTCACGTTAGTGAAACAAAGGAGGTTGGGTGTAGTGCTAACCGCATTATGCTCTCTTATGCCGAGGTAATTGAACTCTATTTCATCTGTCCCAGACTCAAGCCGGACTAAGGAACATACTACTATCATAAATTCGTCAATTTTCAAGTACGTAACGTCTTTTGACTGAGCCTTTGCTCTACACTTGATGGGTGGATTCTTTCTTCGTTTTCGTGAGCCTCCATAACACAACTACTGTTTTCATTACCAATCCACACCACGCATAATCTTTGGCGTTACTAGTGTGATGTGGAGGGACTTATCAAAACCCTGAAAGAAAAGGAAAGGGGGGAGTGCAACGTCGGGAGGGGGGGACATATTTTTGAAAAATCAAGTATGCTACTGTGGTAACAAAAAAAAACCGTGACAAAGCCGCCCCCACATGCTCGGCCCAATCAGGTTTTGAGTTATTTCGTGTCACTGCTTTAAAGTTTTTAGATTAAAACAAATGATTAAATAGAATGTATTTATTTAATGCCTTTCTCAGCATTCTTTCTCTAACATATCCTACATTTTCTACAAAGGTTAAATAATTCTTTTTATACATTCTCTCTATTAACAAAACACATACATTAAACCACTCCATTCCAATTTTATCCGAATTCTAATTTTCCTAAGATTTCCTAAATTCGTGACATTTGCAACAAAAAAAAAAACAAAAAAAAAAACGCCTCCAAAATAAATTAAAGTAACAACTCAGTATTAAAAAGCAATTAAGCCTTTAAAAAATTGAGATAACCTAATTAGAATAACATTAATTAATTAATTAGCCTATGTAACGGTCAATTTTGAGATAAAAATTGTGAGATCTTTTCTGTCAAAACTAATTTATTCACAAAAAATCACGTGATTGCGCAGGGGAGAAAAGCGTCGATTTATGTATTGATTAAACAAAAAAGGACAATAGATAAATAATAGTGTCTGCACGATATTTCAGTCTTCGCGGTGGAAGCTACAAGGCGAGTTATCTCCCCTCAACAAGAATATCTCACAACAACATCGTGGTGTGTGTCGTTAGTTTGAGTATTACTATATTTATGGAAACAGAAATACGATTTGTGAGTCTGATTTGTGTGTACACTCTCCAGGCGCTGTGACGTCACGGGAGTCCTACTATGACGTAATGAGCAACCTGACGATCGGAGACCCGTACCGAAGTCACGTGGGTCCCGTCGAGTCGCTGGTCGAGTCTCTAATTCTGGGGACCGTCAGTCTAGTCTCGGTGGTCAGCAACGCCGCGCTGTGGGTGATCATCTTGACCAACAAGGGTCTGAGGAACGAATCCAACATGCTCATCCTGTGCCTGTCTCTCGCTGACCTGTTGGTCGCCACGGTCAGCATGCCGGTCACCGTCACGACTATTACGTCATCGCGATGGATTTTCGCAAAGTAGGTGTTCATTTTTATCATCTCTTCTCTTTAAACACGGATACATTTTGTACTGTTGCACAAAATGAACCGTACAACAACCAGTGCCGGCGCCAGGTTATTTAGCGCCCGAGGCAAATTATCTTTTACTCATTACACCTTTCATCCGATCGCCATGAAACTTTAGGAAGTTGTGGAGAATACTCCCGGGGAGGTATCTGCGAAAAAAAAAAGTCAAATTCGCAGGGGTAGCGCCCCAGCAGGGAGCGATTTGTTTTATAAATTAAAAATCGATTGCTGATTGACACCGTTCATCCGATCGCCATGAAACTTTCAGTGAGTTGATTAAAACGATCCAGGGGATGTTTCTCCATAAAAATGTCTTTTAATTTCTCAAGGGCGGCGCCCTGGGAGGGTACGATATATAAAAAAATAAAAGTCGGATGCGGTTCGACACCGTTCATCCGAGTGCCATGAAACTTTGGAGAGTAAATGAGAATACTCTTGAAAAGATTTCTGCGAAAAAGAAAAAAAAAATTGTGATGGGTAGCTCCAGGAAGGGTGGGATTTTCGTTAATACACGGTTTGGGGCCCAGAGTTCCATAGCGTTAGCACTTGACATCCTTTAATTGGGCTTCCTACATAGCGGGTAAGAGGTACTACTATATTCAGCGCAAGCCTCCGGCACCTCTTCGATTGCGCTACCCGAAGAGCCCCGGGCTCACCTGCGAGAAATGTGGCGCCTACGTTCGTTTAAAAAAAGGCTATACACTAAAGACACGATGGTCAACAATATTCATTGACTTAATCGAATCAGGCGCGCCCTCCGGCATCTCTACAGGGTGCATTTGGAGCACATGGCTATCCCGCGAATACTACGCGCATACGTTAGTTTTAAAGAGCATCCTACAATATTGATAATGCGTCATACGACATTCGATGATTAAACTAAGCTAGGGGCTGTACGTGGTGCCCCTGCGATAGTGGAATCGGGTTCACGAGAGCGCTACTTTCCGTATCCGACACTTAGGCATTGAGTGATGAACGGTGATATTACGGTGAGTCATTAACTTACACTCAAGGCTTTCATACATACAGCAAGCACCATGGCGCACCGGGCGCTAGTATAGGTAAATCCGTGCCTCGACAAATATGCTCCAAGCACAGGCATTATTTACATTTAAATAACTCAGTTTTAGAAAACAAGTAAGTACATTAAATAAACCGGGAGTGATCTCCCCTAAACTTCCTCTAATATTCTTATATAACACTAAGGGGATGGCAACTCAGGATATAGACAATATTTTTTATCCATTTTTAATTACTTAAACTTTTTTAAATAGAATAGAATCTCGTAGAAAAAAAAAGCACACCAAGTGAAAGTCAAATAAAATGTGCATAATAGTACGTAATATTATCAGTACTTTATAAATTCACATGTGTTTTTTGGGAAATCGGAAATAGCCTAAATTACTGCTTCCGGTCAACGGAATTTACTCAAAATTTGACAGAAGGAAGAGAATATTAAATATGCTACTTATATGTGAAATTTCATTTATCTATCTGAATAGTACACAAGTTATAGGCTTTTGAAAAATTGAAAGTAGAAAAAGTTCCACTTCCGGTTATCGGAAATCACTGAAAAGCTGATACGGATCTACAAATTCGATATAATAATTATGTATGAAATGTCATCAAACTAGCTATAACGGTACTCAAGTTATCGTGTTTACAGACACACACAGACACACACATACACACACACATACACACACATACATACACAGAGACATACGGACAAGATAGCAAAACTATGTTTTTCCGACTCAGGGAGGTGTAAAACGTCGAGATTTGCAAAAATCTAGATTTTTTTTTGTACGATTACAAGACTTTCTATATACTTTGTATACGAGAAAGTAATAAACCGGGAGTGATCTCCCCTAAACTTTCTCGAATATTCTAATATAATACTACGGGGGATGGCAACTCAGGACATAGACAATATTTGTAATCCATTTTTAATTACTTAACCTTTTTAATAGAATAGAATCTCGTAAAAAAAAGAATTGCACACCAAGTGAACGCCAAATAAAATGTGCATAATAGTCCGGGATATTATTAGTACTTTATAAATTCACATGCGTTTTTAGCGTAAATTACTACTTCCGGTCGACGGAAATTACTAAAATTTTTATAGAAGGCAGAGAATTAGATCTTTTACACACACACACACAATTATTTTTTTTGCACGATAACAAGACTTTCACTATACTTCGTACATACGAGAAAGTAAAAATGAAGTAACTAAATATTCTAATAGAATAGCGAGTGTTTATTGTTTATTTTTATTATTATTATATCGCTCATTACCGAGTGTTGTTGACTAATATTTTCATGAGTTTAAAAATAAAACAAAATAATCTATACATATATAATTCTCTTCTTGGAGACTATAGAAAATACCAATCTGTAAGCGCGCCTCCAAGCAGCCCCTCTCTTCCTCTCTAGGCATATCGCTACCACCCCCACCCCCACATGGTCTGGTGAGCTGTGGTTCACGCTAAATGTTTATAATCGTAGAGCCGGGTTTAGTGACGGCTTTTAGGGGCATATAATTTAGTTTGAAACGATTGTAAACTTAGGGGAGGTAATTAAGAGAAGGCTGCTTTCACGGGGGGGGGGGGGGGGGCTAGGGGTTGGGGGAAAGGAGTGTTTTAGTGTTTTAAAGCAAATATTTTTAGTGGCAGCATTCAATTTATGGATTACTGAAAGGTAGAAAATAAATCAACTAAATAGTGGCGTATGATTCGCCGCGGGTCGGCTCGTTATTAATATTTGTGCATGGAGCTGAAGAGCCGCACCTTGAGATCAAAAGAGTAGTATGCGGCTCGAGAGCCGCAGTTTGCCGACCCCTGCGGTCAACCTAAAGTGCAGGAATTCGAAATTAATATTAAATTAAGCAACGAATTATCTCCCATTTGAAAATTCAAAAATTAGTATTTTACTCAAGGGAAATAACTTTTCAAAAGAATAGCTAAATTAAAGTAGTATAACTAAGACATGCTTAAAAACATAATAAAACGATATAAATATCCTTACATAATAGTTGTAACAAAATTTTTATAATCGCTATGTAACCTTGTAAAAACAATATATATTACTTATTGACTACTTAACTGTTGGATTTATTTGAAAGTCCTAAAACTGTAGCTTTATTATAACATACTTCTATTCAATTTTGATTACACGAAACCATTGATAGTTATCGAATTGTCTGAGTTTTTGGGTCCCTTATATTAGGGATACTTATTAAACCAAACTGACTTCAATTTCATGAAAACTGTAAACTTAACCAGTTATTGATTTTATGATTGCATTTAGTAAAATTAAAGCTTGTTTATAATCGTCAAGATCTCAAAAACAGTTGCTCCCTGGACTTAATTATTAAATTACTTCTTTACACAAAAACATCTGTAAAGAAAATAAAACATGATATTGAAGTGTTATTTAATTAGGATTGGACATGAACAAAAACGAGAAAGCATAATATCCAAATAATGCAAACTTACTAAATATACTGTATTTAAATATTTCAGTCCATAGTCTATATCACACATTTTCACAGTCATAGTTATATCAATCATTCAGGTTATTAAAAACTCATTAGTTTACAAAAATCTTGACAGTGTAAAGAGTAGTAAAAGATACAAATAAACAACTTTACAATTAAAAAAAAAAAAAAATATATATATATATATATATATATATATATATATATATATATATATATATATATATATATATATATATATATATATATATATATATATATATATATATATATATATATATATATTAGGGATACTTATTAGTACTTTCATTTGTTAAATATTTGGTTTCATTACATGATAAAATTTATTTATAAGGATGATGATTTTGATATACTTAGTTTAAATTGCAAATTTAAAAAAAAACAAGTTAATAAAAAGTCTAGTGACAATTTAAGCGCAAAAAATGTTTCAAGTCGCTAAGTGGTCTGGTTGCCGAGATATGGACCAAAAACTGTATTTGTTCGAGGTTTTTTGGCTTTTCCGGGAAATCCAGGAAGGAATTCCATAATTTTTTTGGCCCACAATCATCCTCGGAACTTGCTTAACATATTTGCTTTTCGTCGAGGAGGAGATACGACTTAAAGCTGGGGACACACATCCATCTAGAAATGAGTTAATAATCGCAATTGTCCGTATGGAAATTGCGCTAAAAAGCTAACAAAAAAAAATTAGGGATGCCTTTCAAAAAATCAAATACGGGTAACTGTTTTAGACATTGCTAGAAATACTGATTAAGTATTAAAAAAATATAATTTAAAAAAACAAAGTTTATCAGTTAATGGTTAGTTATTGATTCCATCCTATTTAATGTTATATATTAATACTTTAAGAGTGGTAATATAGATTCCTAAAAAACTAAAGATTTTTCAACTATAGAACGCCTACCTTTCTTTGTACTGAAATCATCTTACGTACGATAAACTCGACTACTCGATATACTCTACTACATTTACAACACATATCAAACTTCGATATTTAAACATAACTAGACTCGATGCTCCAGGACTACGACACCAACTCGTTCAACTTCACCGAGCTCTACAAACGGTACTCCCAATCAACAACGATTACACTGGACCTACTACTACACTTTAACAGTCAATATAATTCGATACCTTAATACCACAAGAATCAATACTCTCGAACTCCAGAACTACGATACTTCATCACCTGCATTCTCATTTCTCTATTACCAATCAGATTTCACTCGACCTTCAACTACAAAACAGCCGAATAAAAATTATGACACTTTAACACTTCTATACTTAATACCTATGAAACCATATCAGCAACAGCCATCCGCCGTTACTCCCAAATCTAAAGAATTCATCAAAACGTACCAAACAAGTACAATACTTTGAACACCCAGTCATTACAAAACTCTAATTCAAAGTCAGAGAAAACGAGACTTACAAGCCCAATTAAAATTAGATAACCGTTTGAAATGTTCGAAATTTAAATTACGAACTTATTTAATCGTTTTCTACATCAATTATGTGACACCAAATTAAAAAGGCAAAGTGACTGGTAAAAAGCGCCCGACCTTTCCAAATTAGGGAGGTGGGGTCCATTTCCCCATCGCGAACAAATATATGGCTTATATAGACCCAATTTTTGGGTGGGGGTGCAAAATTGATTGTTCGTCCTGGGTGCGGAAACAGATCGCTACTCCTTTATAAAAGTTATTAAATATTAGGTACTTTTTGATAATAGCGATTAAACCTTTAGCGCCCCCCCCCCCTAGGGATGGCGCCCTGGGTGACAGCCTAGTTCGCCTTATAGGTAGCGCCGACCCTGACAACAACATCACTCAAAGAAAAAAACAAACATTAGAATTGATTATCACAAAATCAATGTGACTCTGCTGTTGCCTTTCAGTTTCAAATTTTGGGTGTCATAAAACTAATTTAAAGCTAAATACTATTTTCTTAAAACCATTATTATTTATTTTGGCACATGCATAATTGTTTATTAAAATAAATTTAAATGGACATATTGTTTCGAAAATTGTGGAGGCTTTGTATTCATCTTAGATCTAAACTTAATCGCACTTCTAATGAACGCGTTGATTGTAAATTTCAAACCTAAAGTAGCTCTTATTTTGTTACTGTTGTTTGTTATTGCTTTTTTCTATCATATTTTATCAGTTTTTAATAATTATTCTCGTATGTTCTAGCAGATTATTTGAATTTAAATTAACTGCTGTATCCATAGGAACTAAGAGTGGATAAAAATTTTTACGAGTTTTCTATTCCGTCCGCACTATTTATATGAATAAATCTTAGATCTAATCTTTACATGTTTCTGCTGTTTCAGCGTTGCCCTGTCATTTTCATGACTTTTTCTTGCGAGAAAAAAAAAATTAAAAAAGAAAAAAAAAAAAAAAAAAAAAAATCTTTTTCTTGCGGGGCACGCGTCTACTAAACCACACACCTTGTAGAATACCCGAACTGGGAACTACGTGGTTTTTATACTTAAGACGCTGGCGTATGACCTGTGCCTTTCAGGGTTACTCACAGACATTTCGCTCTGTAGAAATGTTTTTATGAGAAACTCTGAGTCCTCTGGCAGGCGACCCGTGGCTTAGCTAGACAAATTATTTCAATTTTCTTGGCGATTGGTATTGAGAATCTAGTGAAATTTTATTTGTCACTAAGGACTTGATACTTTTCTCTCTATGGAACTTGGAACTTTGTTTTTCTAAGAGCTCGATTAGTTTGGGTTGTACATTGCTTTAGGGTATGTGTATATCCGTACCTATTTTAGCTTACCCAGTGTTGACTAGTATATTTACTGTGTTGGTCTCCCCTGGTGCGTCGGAAACTTCTCTGGTAAGCCTGTGGAAAGTTTTCCGAGAGCTCGGAACATTTTACTGTGGCGTGTAGGCTTGGTAATCGAATTCTCACATTTTGACGGAAAGTCTTGTTTACATCTGAGCAAAATTAGGCCCTTGCAATAAAAAAAAAGGAATTTCTCCAGGTCCTTTTCAGGGCCACCAATTATTTCACCTCGAAACGGTTTGGTTCTCTGTGTTTTTATGTTTTTTTACATCTAATGCTAAAATAAGACGCTACAATAGCTAAATTTACTATTTTTTAATAATTTAATAAATAAACAAATTCACGTTAGAAACGCAATTTTTTTTACACTTCTTTTATTCCTAAATGAAATTCAAATGGGAAGAAAAATGTGAAAAGATTTATGAGTAACTTTTCTTCAGAAAATAGAAAAAAATGTATTTTCCTCCTATTTAAAAAATATGTTTAAGATAGTGCAGGATGATCAAATTGTAATTGAAAAATAAATATCAAATCTTTTAAAATATGATAAACTATAAATTACTGTTTGGTCCATAAGTGCTTGATGTCGCGTTTTCGCGACGTACCGTAATTAGCATAAAAAATAAGTCCAAATTTAAAAACAACTATATAGGCCCTACCTCAAATTCAGTGTCAGTATGATGAGAGAAAATCAGCACAATTTTTTTGTACACGCTTGGAACATAATTCAGGCATAAGGGGTTAACAATGACAATAGGCCCCTTAAAATAAACGGATTCCTTTAAAAAATATTGTTTTAAAGTTAATTTAAACTGTTTTTTGTGGCTTGAAAAACTATCAAAATCTTTTATTCAACACGCAACCAACGCGACAACAAGTGACAGATCGCACTTTGAGACGTCTGCTAAAGGGGAGAAGATTATATAATTTTCAAACTTTATGAACAAAATGCGTTGAATTTTTACTTTCATGTATAGAAGAAGTATTGAAATCTTGCAAAAAATCGTTTTACACCTCCCTGATTCGGAAAATTGCGATTTAGTCCCTATGTCTGTGCGTATGACCGTGTGTATGCATGTATTTGTTTGTGTGTGTGTGTATGTATATGAAAACGATAACTTAATTACCGTTACAGGGTTTTACAATCTTTGGGCTTTAGTCATAGTAAAAACTAACACATTGTCCATAAAACGAAGTAAATAATTTAGTCAATGGACAACATCAGAAAGTGACCCTATAAAGTGACCATTGATAAAAATTATCCTTAAATACTAACTTATATAATAACCATTAATTTAGTGACCAATATTTCTCATTTATTACCATTAATGCTTTTTTAAAAAAAAAAAATTAAATGGTTGTCTATACAATTTGTTTAACTTCACTTATCTCCCTGTATCAGAGCGACCTGCGTTGCCATGGGTTACCTGAACATGCTGACCTTCACGGCCTCAGTCCAGTCCCTGGGCGTCATCAGCATGAACCGCTACGTCAAGATTTGCCTGCCCAACAGGTACATCGACGTCTTTACTTACCTGAACACAGCTTTCATGTGCCTAGGTGAGTGACACAGTCTTGATGCACGTGCGAGCAATCGCAGGTCGTGTTTGAGTATTTACTTTTAACCTCGATACTCGGGTCATAACCCTAAACCGAGCCATAACATTAATCCAGATGTTGCCATTAACCTTCATCATGAACGAAAGCCTAAGCTGAGATTATTCCTGAAATACAGTCTGATTCTAACGCTCCCTCTTGAACCTGGTGGCAAGTGCAGTAGATTGCACCTGTTTCTGTGTTCTCGGCATAGAAAGGGATCTGTGGTCAGCACTATTCCCAGCCGCATTTGCTTTCCCTAACGTGAGTTGAGTACCCGTTAGAGCTGAGTGGACTCATGAGCCGTTTTACTCAAGACTTTCGGGGTAGCAGTCGTAGGCTCTATCTATCTACCGCGTCGCTCCATATCCTATTTCTAAGCGTAAAATTATCTGTGATAGTAGCAATGATACTAACGTTAATACTGGCGTTAGTCGAGACCATTAACGTATCAAAATCGTAATTTCAAAACAGTCCGAAAAATGTTTAAAAGGCACTGCATGGTCCTGTTGAAGTTTAAAAGACAATCTGAACAAGTCTTAGTGAACTTTATTCGTGTCTAGCAGCTATCACTTAAATCTGTCCAATTCTCAATGAAGTTTTTATTCGAGTCTAAATTCCGTCACTCTGCTCCTTTCTCGTCGCCTTTAAAATGTGTTCGACTTTTTTTGTAGCTAAAAACGTTTCATTAATGTCGGCTGTCTAAATTAATTGTTTTCTTTAATTACCTAAGATGTATTTGCGTTTTATTTATACCTTTTTTACTTTCTCGTATATACGAAGTATAGAGAAAGTCTTGTAATCGTGCAAAAAAAAAATCGAGAATTTTACAAATCTCGACGTTTTACACCTCACTGATACGGAAAAACATAATTTTGCAATCTTGTCCGTATGTCTGTGTGTCTGTCTGTCTGTGTGTGTGTCCGTGTGTAAACGGAAATTTCACATGTAAGTAAAAGATCTAATTCTCTTCTGTTAAATTTTGAGTAACTTTCCGTTGACCGGAAGTAGTAATTTACGCTACTTCCGATTTCTCAAAAAACGAATGTAAATTTTAGAAGTACTAATAATATTGCGTACTATTATGCGCTTTTTTATTTGGCGTTCACTTGGTGTGCAATTAATTTGTCTACGAGATTTTATTCTATTTTTAAAACTTTAAGTATTTAAAATGGATTAAAAATCATGTCTATAGCCCGAGTTCCCATCCCCTGTTATTTTATATAAGAATATTCGAGAAAGTTTAGGGGACATCACTCCCGGTTTATTTAATCATATAATCATTTTTAATTTGATTGCCGATACATGCTAATTACCTTTCTGTTGAATTGTAATGATTAACTGGTAATAATCGTACAAAGGAGAAACGCCCGCAGAAAGAATAAAATAAATTCTGTCAGAATAAATCGTCTTAAACCCAGTGAAAAATGTTAATTACAACATGGTGTAATTAATTAAGTTCCACGACTAAGAAGCACGATTACGTCTTAAATTTTCAATGAGAGTGTAATATCCTGGTCAAAAGTAAAAATTGACATTTATTTGATTATTTTGATCTGACAAACTACTAGAGTTCGGGAATTCAGGACTTGTTTTCTTTAATTCAAAGATAGACAGAAATGTTGTACTTATTCGTACTTTTCTATTGGGCTATGAAATGGTCAGTTTCCACTCATATCATTTTCTACTGCAGTTTTACTAAATTAGCAATTTTTTCTCCTATTACCAATTAGATTAATTAACACGGAGTTTGAGCATACGAATTGATACAACAATAATAACTAAATTGGTACAACATTATTTGCTTTTTGTTGGACTTTGTTGAACGCAATATGCGTAAATATGGTTTTTCTTAAACGTGTTTAAGAAAATTTAACGAATGCTACTTAATATAGAATCGTACACCTGCTATCTCTAGGCTTAAAAGTCCTTCTACCTTCACAAAGTTCCAACTGTATTGGGTGTAGGTAGAATATGCTAGGTTTAACTTATACCAAACTTACGATTATCGGATTATCAGCGTCTTATCATATTTTGCTTAAGTATGTTTTTTTTTATTAAAATTTTCTTCAAGGTTGTCTGCACAACATGTTTTTTTTTTGTTTGAAACGTGTTATCCTTGACATAGTTATTAATATCGCGGAAAGCATTTTCTCCTAAGTGAATTTATCGATAAGAAACATGGGTGGCAAGTGTACTTAGACCACAGGCTTACAAAAGTACGAGAATCTATATCGAGTTTACTTGCTGTAAAACTAATAATGTGGCATTATTCATCAATGTATGATAACATGATACCTGTCGATATTTCATTTCCTTTAGGCGCATATTTGTTGTTAGTTTTATTACACGTCAGCATTTTTTTCACGTTCGTGCACGAGACACGTTGGGCAGATCAAGTAGAGTTCATCTGTTTCAAAGACCTCGACATATGAAGTTATAGTGTAGTCAGCACTATGCCCAGCTGCCTTTGTTTTCATTGACTGGGGTAAGTACCCATCAGAGCTTGGTGGACTCAGAGACAGTCTACTGACATGAACCCGAAATCGAACTCGAGACTTTCGAGTTAGCAGTCTAGATCTCTATACTAGGCCACGTCGTCCTATTATTACATGTATTTCTCTGGATATCATTTAACTGTGCATTTCATTTTATTCCCCCACATCTAGGTGTATGGCTTGTGGCCGGTTTACTGTCATTACCTCCCTTATTCGGCTGGGCCGCTTACAGTTACCTGCCCTACGCCTCGCTCTGCTTCTGCAACTGGGCGCTCTCCTTCACCTACGCCCTCTTCATGATCTTCGTCTGCTTCTGCATCCCCTGTGTGGCCATGACCTTCTGCAACGTCAGCATCCTCCGGGCCTTCCTCCACAGCAGGCGCGCCATCCAGTCTTTCAAGGACAAGGACAACGATGACGCACACCGGAACCACGTGACCGATCCTAAACCGGAAGTTACCAACCACGAAAAGCACGACGCTAAAACTACGAATAACAATACAATGCATATCACTACCAATCTATCTAAACAAGAAGTCGATAAAAATGTGAAACCAAAGTTGAGTAAAACGGTGAATTTTTCAGAAAATCCAGACGAGTGTACCAATACTACAAAAGTATTGCACAATCCAAGTTTAGATTTGTCAGACAGTAAAAGCAACGAGTTTTCCAGTACTAGCCGCCATAGTATACAATCAACAAACAATTATTTGCTTAAATCATCACACGGGACACCTACACATACTGTAGTAGATTCAAGGGCAGGTAAACACTACGATGACACAAAGGGAGATAATGTCGATACTGTTGTGAAAAGGGACACCACTAACGTGTGTACAGAGTTGTCGGTGACTGATATTGAGTGTAACGATCCGCCACCAGACGGATCCATCGTTAATTATTTGCCTGACATTTGCCGTGAAACCTGCGCCGACACGGAAACAAAAACGCGTCTGTTTACTATTGAGGGAGGGGTAAACCTACACACCACCCCACAAACACGTGACTTTGTAATTGAAAGAGGCGTAGACCAACACATCTCCATACAACGTGACGTTGAAACAGAAACCGAAAACCTCGCCAAAGGAAACGAATATTCTTACAAAACCAACACACAAACTGAAAGCAACACTGGATATTCGTTTCAATTATACGAAACTAAAGATTTGGCTTCTAAACAAATGGAACTTGCAGAAGCGGAAACGACGTCATTTCAAATACGGGACTCGGTAATTAAACTTACGCACGCTAAAAATAGATCACACGCAACCAGACCCCATGACCATATGCGGTTTCCGTCCTCTTCAACCAACCTTAACCGTTCAGCTACATTGGTTCCTAATTTCCCTTACCCGGGATCATTAGCTCCGGACCTCTTCAATGTTACAGATTATATAACTCAGCACAAGTTCACCAAGACAACTAGACCTACCCGCAGTTCAAACCCTGTCATAGACGATCAATGCTTAGACCAACATTCGTGTTGTACGAATTTTTATGGCTTAGCTCGCTTACAAAACACTAAACACGTCAAAAAATACGACAACAATCCGAGTTCTCGAAAGTCAGGAAACACAACTCATCTCTGCACCATTAATGAGGTTAGCGAGCTCAAAATCGATAAACGACCACAAGAGATGAAACGGCATGTTTATAAAAAGGCGGAAAATTCAGCACTAAATCTTCCAACGAAGCAGAACATCGTGAAAATGGGAGATAATCGCATATTAAATTCAGTGTCTATTGATCGTGCCATTGAAAAGAAAGATAACCCGCAATTATTCATTGAGTCGCAGGAAGTAGGTCTATATTTATCTCAGCGTAAAATTATTTTCCAGACTTGTTTCAATTACGTGTTTAAGAGACTTGGACTTATTCGCGTTAAGGAAGTAGATAAAAATGTAATGACGATGAACTCACCAAATCGTCATGACAATATGGCCTACGATAACAATGTTAATCATGAGGCTGAGAGAACTATTTCAAAACAAACTGCTGATTTAGTAAGCAAACATCGTATACACGTGGATTCAGTACAGAATGACAATGTTGCAATTAGTAGGCAGACACAAGTTACTAGAAACTATGTTGTTGATACACATTTAAAACATGGAATGACTAAAGGAGAAATACTCGAGTACTATGGTAAGGATTCTGTAGACACAGCACGGCATAACTGTTATAGTGTACATGATTTAAAGTCAAGGGTTCGGAATGTGAGTACACACACTGCTGGTGTACTAATGTGTGTACAACCCGCTCTACGAGATAATGTACTTCAAAACATCGATTGTCAGCATTCAGCTTTAGAAATTCCTGGCTCCGTAACCAATGGCACCGAATCACCTTACACACTGGAGTATGGCAAGAGCAGACTTAACGTCCCGGGAAACACGAACCATGACGTCACATCCGGGAATCCTTCAACATCTTCAGACGACAACAACCAAACTCAACTGACACCTCAAAAACCGCCACCCCGGAAACCGTTGGGGAAATTAGAACGTCGGAGAAAGGAAGAGTTCCAACTGGCAGGAAGTCTTGTCGTCGTCATCGTTCTCTTCATCGTCTGCTGGTTCCCGTACTGCATCTCCATGTTCATCTCCGTCTTCACGCCTGAGCGGTCATCACGTGGGCTGGACATGACGTCACTGTTCCTCGGCTACTTCAACAGCTGCGTGAACCCTATCGTGTACGGGCTGATGAACAAGAAGTTCAAGGCCGCCTACATCAAGCTGTTCATGACCTGCATTCGGCCGTTGTGTAAGAAGAATCGATTCGATCTCAGACAGAACAACTCGACCCGCCCGCACCGACCCGTCACAACCATCGCCATGTCGACCTCCGCCTGAGCCATAATCCAATAATCCCCTTAATCCGTCCTACCTGATTTCTGTAATATTACATGTATAGCCCTCACCAGAGGGAACTCATAATGTCAGATTTGTATTTAAAACATAAAAATAAAATCCAATGCTACAAAAAAAAATGGTTTCTATTTTTTTCTGTCTTCTTGGTTCTAAAGCTAGAATTCCCATTAATGATCATTTCACGGCAGAAAATCATGCAGTGCTGAATCTATATATAGATTTCATCCCGGATACGGTGTAGTTAGGCCTAATGAACAGAAGAGTTAATTAAAGCTAACCTTGGCTTTTTAGTGTGGTGCTCAGGTTTCTAGCGACCTTGTCAGGTAATTGAAATCATGATGAGTATTGTATTTAGCTGACTCCATCGTGTGGATAAAGCAGAGTTCATCTGTTTATCTTGTCAACGCACATGTAGGGTTAGTATAGCCAGAAAAAAAAACAACGACTTTTATCAATAACTTTTCTCACTGTTGTGTATGTGAGAAGTTTTATGTATTTACGTAAACAATCTTTACAGCAACATATCTGGGAGAGACAACTCTAAATTCAAGCAACCACTGCCTTGTAATTTATTTTCTCAAATAGGCAATGGCTATGGGTCTATATAACAGGCTGACATGTAACACTTAAATGTGTTAAAAGTATGCTCATCAGGAAACTAGATTATTCTCTGTTTGTATTTGATGTAAATTAGTCCAAATCTTTTGATACGGTTTAAACTGTGCGTATTTAAAGTATACTAGATCCGATGTTTTAATCATTTGGAGTATATTAGACCCTATATTTTGGAGTCGTTTAGATCTTAAAACAAGCCAACCACTGGCAATATATCACAGCACCTCAAAACAACATCTCTGACCTTCACCCTGCTACACCAAGCTAAAACTTTAACCAATTTAATTATTAAAATGTTGAACTAAATAAACATTTTTCATCCAATCCCATCCTTCTGTCAGTATTTTATAATAAAATTGTTAATTAATTTAACAGGCTTTTAACCACATATTATTTTGAATCTTTAAAGTAACAATTTTATTTAGCGTCCACCAGACGGGTTATTTCTATGTCCGACAATGGCATCTAATTAAAATGACCTTTCTCATGTTAAATGTGTCACAATGCTGCCTTTCGTAATAGATTTTTGATGAAAAATAATCAAATTATCTTGACAGTAGTTTTTCACACTGATGTGTGTGTATCGAGAATAAATTAAGTTCAATTAGTTAAAATGTCATGTCTATGTTTTTGTTTGTTGCCTGTCATATGGGATGGTGGGGTTGTTGGATGATCGCACAATTACTCACCCAATAGAAACTACTGGGTCGATACAGAAATATTGGGTTCCAGGCCCATGTTGGGCGAAATATAGGTGAATAGTTATGTTTATTGCAGACAAAACGTCATTTTTAATGCATATTTTATATGAAGCGTCTGCTTAAAAAAAAAAAAACGTCTGTATTTTTTCCTTCATGATCGGATCAAATCGACATTTAAAAAATTAAAGCTTGAAGACACTTTTATTTCACGGTTGGGTTGAGAACATACAGGAACTTTTTTGAAAAGCTGCAGCTAACAAAGTTCATATTGTACGGGACTTATTGATGCTACAATTTTTAAAATGACAAAAAAAAAAAAAAACAACTGACGACAAACAAAAATAATTTTTATAACCGTGATTAGGTCAAGGATTAAAAAAAAAAAAAACTTGTGATGGTTAATGACGTCTGTCGCTGTATAAAAATCGATCGACATTCTTCAATGACTTGTTAAAATGAAAAAAAACAAAACATTTTTTTACTGCATCCGATTTTCTGTAGCATCATAAGTCAAACAAACAATGTGTGTTCAGGTCCCATCTAGCCTTCCATTTATTCCATTACACAACCAAACAACGAACACTGCAACCATTGTTAGTCTATACACCATGTACATGAAAGGTCAAATGTCATGTATACACAGCCCTATTGTTCTAAACTATCTAGACAATCATGAATCAATATACCCGCTGGACATCGGTTTAGTTGAAGTATTACAGTGCATGCTTCTTCTCCTACTATTATCCTTAAAGTTTTGAATCTTACTAAAAAAACGCACTTATCCCGAATTTCAGCTTGATATTTTAAAAGATATCTCGATATAGCTATTCTCAAATCAATTAACAAATATAAAAGTACAACCTATTGCTTTGTGATGTACTAAGGTTGAGTCTCAGCTAAATTTTTAATGTATCATCAAGTATTATTGTATTATAGTTTGTAAAGTAAATAATAGAAAGTGGAAAAAATAATTATTTTCTAATAAAGATGTGTGATGTTGAAAGAGAAATACGAAAACAGCTAGAAGTAGAAATTATGTCGCCAGGGGAAGTCTGCAAGCCACGTTTTATCGTCTGCATCACAGATCCTCGTCTTCCTCTCAGCAGGATCTTTTCTAAAGCTATTATTGGAACTTCATATATATATATATATATATATATATATATATATATATATATATATATATATATATATATATATCAGGGGCGTAGCGGGGGGGGGGGGGGGGCGGGGGGTGCGGATCGCACAGGGGGACGCCATTTAGGGGGGTGACACCAAGGCATAAAATAGCAAAATATATAGAGAAAAACTCGAGGGGGGGTGCGAATCGAAAGTTTGAGGGGGGGGGGGGGGGTGCAAATCGAAAATTTGAAACTTTGTCCCTGGGAAGGGTCTCTATGCCTCTGGGGGGGGGGGGTGACACCATTAAGTGCCGCACCGGGTGACACCCGACCTCGCTACGCCACTGCATATATATATATATATATATATGTGTATTTATGTGTATTTATATATATATATATATATATATATATATATATATATATTTATTTATATATATATATATATATATATATATATATATATATATATATATATATATATATATATATATATATATATATATATATATATATTATATATATATATATACATATATATATATATATATATACAAATGTATGTTTGTATGTGTATATATATATATATATATATATATATATATATATATATATATATATATATATATATATACATATATACATATATATATAAATATATATATATATATATATATATATATATATATATATATATATATATATATATATATATATATATATATATATATATATATATATATATATATATATATATATATATATATTTATATATGTATATATATATATATATATATATATATATATATATATATATATATATATATATATATATATATATATATATATATATATATGTATATATGTATATGTATAAACGATCTAGCACGAACGTTCGACCAGTTAAATGACAAACAGACCATCACTTCTGCAGTAGAGAGCTGCCAACAAATTAACATCACCTAGCCTGAGGCTGAAGGTTCTGTACTACACAAACTTTCAGAATAAAGGTGCTAGGGGCTTGCAATTAAATTAATATGTACTCACTTCAACCGTCGCTACCTATTTATAACTATACTCGAACCGAGTGCATGTTTGTCTTAAAATAATTCAGCATTTAATCAGCTGCCGTAGTTTCTGCTGTATTTAGAATCTGACGTAATCGGGAAATGACTGACTGCCATCTAATTTTTTTTTGGTTTAAAACTTTAAAAAAAAACATATTAATTAATTTAAACATTTTGGAATTTCTAAATTTATAGATACTTGAAGCGATGCCGACCTTATCAAATATGAATAAGGAAAAAATCAATACATTTCATACATTGATAAAAAATGTACTTTGTTAATCTAAATTAAGCATGGTATGTAGCAATCGTTTTACCCTTGAATACATTTTTCAAAAAATCTGTTGTTTTTTTCTGGATTTGACGAAGAAGTTTTGGTGGCACAAAACTGGATCAAAAACGTAAAAAAAAAATCAAATATGTTGACAGATTAAAGGTTCTAAAACTTTGATCTTTTTGGCCCCTTCAAATCATACTCGGTTTACTTGGAGTAGAACATTAATAGAAAGTAACAGGGCAAATTTAATTTGTTTACTATTACTAGATTATTAGACTATCTAAAATGTATTTTGTTTGATAGTTAAAAAAAAAACCCAATATCTATTGGTTTTAAAGGCATGTACTCTTTTAAATAAAATAAGTAGTACATATATGCAAAAAGTTTAATTCGAAAAAAAAAATTGAATCCACTTTTTAAAAATCTACATAATCGAATCAAGCCGATCACTTACAGGTAGTTACAAACAGGGGCGTAGCAAGGGGGGGGGGGGCGGGGGGTGCGGACCGCATCGGGTGACACCATTTAGGGGGTGACACCAAGGCAAAAAATAGCAAAATATATAGAGAAAAACTTGAGGGGGGTGCAAATCGAAAGTTTGAGAGGGGGGTGCAAATCAAAAACTTGAGGGGGGGGGGGTGCAAATCGAAAGTTTGTCCCCGGGAAGGGTCGCTACGCCTCTGGGGGGTGACACCATTAAGTGCCGCACCGGGTGACACCCGACCTCGCTACGCCACTGGTTACAAATCACATTTCTGATCGATCTTTTATCAACTAATACGAGGTCAGATTGTTGATGTATGAAATAAAAAGTTGACCACTAGTTGACCTCTTCTGTTTAACTGCAGACACTGGCGCTATAGATCAAACCATTTAGGAATCAAAAGGTGTATTCAAGCCAGACTAATTGGCTGATAAATTAATTAACTACAATGTCCGGTATTCTCACTAGAGTACATCGACATCCCACCGGGGAAAAACTTAACGATCTGCCATTAATTAACCTAACTAATTGGAGAATCAGGTTCTGCACTTTAAAAATGTGATTGCTCTTCTTTCGTGGGCTCATCACGTCATCGACAAACATGGCAACATCAAAGCGGAAATGAAATGCTCGCATTTTTTCCGGAGAATCAAAGACGTTGAGAATCAAAGAGCGGATACAATTTCCGGACAAAGTTCATATAAACATCGGAAGTGTTATTGTAAAATAAAAAAGGCCATTAAGCCGGGATGTAATAGGACATCGTCAAAAATTTTAATAACTTTATAATGGCATTTTTATTTCTGGTTGATTATAAGAGTTTCGATGTTTTTACTTTCTCGTACCCAGAGTATAGAGGAAGTAATGTAATCGTGCACAAAATACACATGAAATTTCGACAGTTTTCACCGTTTTACACCTCAGTTTTTCGACATGTACGGAGTACAGGGAACTTATTTTAATCGGGCAAAAATTATATATGGGCGGGTGCGTGGGTGGAAATACTGTTTCAAAGCAGCAAGGTAATAATCTATGTTTCATGGATATATTGGTTTTAAATATGAACCGACACAAGACATCTCACGTTTTTATTAAAACAATGAAATACGCCTATAATACTTATTAAATGAAAAGAAGTAGTCTTAACAATGAATAATCTTTAATTGAGAAAAAGCAGTTGAATACTCCATGTTTACAAAAACAATGATTATACATGTCTTATTTAATTAAGGCACAACAAAAATGGTGATAATTGCTCCGTATAAAAAATCAATGCATTTCATACATTTGAAATAGTTCAAGTGAGACAATCATTGAACAGTTGCATATTAATTGTAAAATATGCAGCAAAATGTAATGTATATCATAACAAACAGGCAGGCAGGCATGCCACAAGACAGGGCCACAACACAAGACCACAAGACAAGACCACAATGCTGGGCCACAACACGGGGCTACAGGCAGGACCACATCACAGGACCACAGGCAGGACCACAAGGCAAGACCACAGGCAGGACCAAAAGACAGGACCACAGGCAGGACCAAAAGACAGGACCGCAAGCAGGACAAAAAGACAGGACCACAGCCAGGACCAAAAGACAGGACCACAGGCAGGACCAAAAGAAAGGACCACAGGCAAGACCACAAGACAGGACCAAAAGACAGGACCACAGGCAGGACCAAAAGACAGGACCACAGGCAGGACCAAAAGAAAGGACCACAGGCAAGACCACAAGACAGGACCACAAGACAGGACCACATGACAGGACCACAAGACAGGACCACAGGCAGGGCCACATGCAGGACCATAAACCGGGTGCCTTAACAAATTGATTATCTTGGCAGATTTTCACTTCCCTTGTAGCAGAATTTTTTCCAAGGCCATCGTTGGGATTTCAAAGGTCAGGGAGAAGACGGCGGCCAACAGGTAGGTTATGACTACATTACCTAGGTAGTTGTACACCTGGAATGTATGAGGACAAAACTAAGTTAGACAAGATTGTACTTGGTTATGACTACATTACCTAGGTAGTTGTACACCTGGAATGTATGAGGACAAAACTAAGGTAGACGAGAATATATCCCAGGTGAAAAGTTTTATATAGCCGTATATTCCCATACCACACCTTCCATTTATATGACGAGGTCAAGAAACATATGAAAAAGGAGGGCCTACCCATACCCATACCGGTATCCGTATCCGTACACATACACGCACACGTAGGCTACACGTACACGTACACTAACACACATCTCTCTCTCAATATATATATATATATATATATATATATATATATATATATATATATATATATATATATATATATATAGGCCTATATATATATTCAAAATAATTTAAATTACGAAATGTTGAAATATATTTAGAACCAGGTGTGGTCTGGCCGTATTCATACGACCCGAGAAAGACAAGATCTAGTTAAAGAATCTACAGCATCGGAATTTTATTTTTTTCACCCCTCCGGGAATTTTCTCGGTGACATGGAGAGCCAGTCCAGCCTTGAGTAAAATTGTTTTTCATTATGTTAATTTGTTAGAAAACCCATCTAGGAGAGAAAACTACAAAATCAAACAACCGCTTCCTTGTAGGTTGTTAACTGAAGAAATATTATGGAAGCCAAGCATGGCAATCAAAGACGTGAACCAAGCTAGGGTAAAGTAGTATCACACGTTGATACATATAATACTTGGTTGTCTTGGAAGATATTCCCTCCAATATTACACATAGGAACCAAGAAGAAAGAGAAGAAGAAAACACATTTGCCGAAGCCCCTGAGGCAATGGAATTTCCTCTACCATTTGTTATTGTCCTGATTAAACGAAATATGTCACTCTAACTGCTCGATAACGTTATGTGCATAGTTTCTTAACCAATGATTTTAGTCTCCACCCCCCCTCCTGAAAATTTCAAGTTTCCCCCCCCCCCCCTCCCCGGAGAAAAATGTCTGAAAGAAACAACTGGTTATGTGATTCTCAGACTCTCTGCCCTATGGCCATATAAAATAAAAACTTCTTTGATCCCACAGATATGCAAACAGTTGCTTATTATACATGCACACGTTCAATTCCTTATGACATATGGATTGAGAGTTCAATATTTGTTGTTCATTCCCTAGACATCATTAGCCAGTCATTCAGTGAGGCATGCGTCTGCCCGTGCATTCAACCGTCAAGTGGAGGCCTGGCGAGTTCAAGCGAAATGCACCGTGCAACCGATGTAAACTCTGGTTTAACTCTGGTTTAACTCTGGTTAAACTCTGGTTTAACTCTGGTTTAACTCTGGTTTAACTCTGTTTTAACTGTAGTTTAACTCTGGTCTAACTATGGTTTGACTCTGGTTTAACTCTGGTTTAACTGTGGTTTAACTGTGGTTTAACTCTGGTTTAACAATACTTTAACTCTGGTTAAACTCTTTTTATCTCTTTTTTTAACTCTGGTTTAACTCAATTCTGATTTAGTAACTCAACCTGTGGGAGTCAGTAACCCGCGTATGGGAGTCAGTAACCCGCGTATGGGAGCCTGTAAACCAACTTTAGGAGTCATTACCCCAGCTTTGGGGAGCCAACATTTACATTGATAGCTCAACTTACTAAAGTAATTGGCTGATATTCACCATAGCATGTTACAGGTCCATTCTTTTGATTAACTTATTTACTCTCAAAATCAAATTCTGTGTGTTTAGTACAAAAATTGCAATATGTATTGTTTTCCTGCATCTAATATGGAAGCCTATTGTTTCGCCTGGGGTGAGAATAATGTGTGTCAAAATCTTGCTTTAAGGAATACGGAAACTTACAAAACCCTTTAGAGAACTACAAACACAGCGCATTAAAATTTCATGTTCATGTATAGAAAATTACGTCGCTGTAGCTAAATCCATATTTAAATGATAGACATTTACATTTACAGTTTAGTTAATAAAGTGTCGTGAAATTGATTCTCAAACTGGATTATACACACATACATGCACCTTATATATATATATATATATATATATATATATATATATATATATATATATATATATATATATATATATATATATATATATATATATATATATATATATATATATATATGGGAGAATAGGCGGTGCATGTCATAAAGACTGCATCAATGATATAAATAAAGTAAACATAATGCGCTTAATCTCATTTTGAAATGTCAAATGAGTTTAAACAGTGTGTCCGAATGTCAGTTTTATTTTCTAAGATATGGTTAAAAACTGCAATATTTAATTTTGTCATTTGTCTTATTATAAATGTATTTTATATATTGTTATGACCTGTGCATAATTCCAACAACACAAATGCTATGTGTGACGGGTGTATTCAGAGTTTCTTCCAGACGTTTTTCTCCGGGGGTGCACTTAAAATTTTCGGGGGGGGGGGGGGGGGGGTGGGGGGGGGGGCGGACAACAATTGCGGGGGGTGTGGGGGCAGACACTGTCTAAAGTATATATTTTCTATGTAAATTCCATTTCGTTCGGGGGGGGGGGGGGGCGGTGCCACCCCGAAGAGATGCCTGGAAGAAACTCTGGGTGTATTGGGTATGTATATCAGGAGAACCGCCACACTTCAGATGAGCCTGGCTTGCTGGGAGCTCTCGAGCTAATTCTATTGATATAGGCAATCAGGGGAGAATGTTCCAGGCATATGACGACCGTTTGTTGTAACAATATACTGGCCTATGTGGACTGGATTTGTCAAACCTAATGTTGTAAAGGATCAGTGGATGTACACTATATTTGTGTATCAACTATATTAGTGCAAGCTTCGTTTAAATAGCATGAATGAAACTGTCGGATTGGTTTTTCTTGCTTTCGGTAAGATATTACTTAAGTTATTTACTTTTGCAAATACAGGGTATAGAGGAAGTGTTGTAAATGTGCTGAACAATTTACCAGATTTTTTGAAAGTTTTCGCCATGTTTACATATTCATAATTTATCGTATACGGAATAGAAAGGATGGAGCGTAATCGTGCGAAAAATTAGAAATCGAATTTGGACGATTTTTGACGTTCTTCAACCGGTTGCGGCCGGGAGAACTTAGTTTCGCAATTCTGTCCGTGTGTATGTATGTAGACACTATATGTGTCTGTGAGTGTGCGTACATGCGTGCGTACGTGTATTACAGCTTAAATTAGGTTAATGTATACGAATTTTATCAAATTTGTAGTTTTATGTCAGTTTTTATGTGATTTCCGGGAAGCAGAAAGGATAGTCACTCCACTCCAGTTTTCTCAACAGCCTATAACTTGAGTACCGTTTAAGTTAAGTTGACGACATTTTAAATATAAGTATAAGATTGTATGCGAATGTTTTTGTCAACCATAAAATTATTTCCAGTGCTTTAAATTCCGATAAATAAACTATAACGGTTTAATTTGAGGTCGATTTTTTATAACTAAATTAAGGATAACCTTATTTAGATGGTTGAGATTCATTAAAGTGTATGTATTGTTATACATTATGCTCCCCAGCATTTTGCCAGGCAACGATAAGAAACAGTCACTTTACGTCACATGACCCTGCAGAAATGCTGATGTTGCCGATTGATGAGGTGCATGTGACCAGAAGTGGTGCCGGGTGTGCCGCTAAGTGCATGGAGTCAAAGAAAACATGCTACAGCTACAGCTATGATAAGGCGGAGAGTTTGTGTGTGTTGGGTGAGTGTTGGAGAGAGAGGTGGGGGTAGTGGTGGGTGTAGTGGTGGTGGGGGTAATGTTGGGGGTAGTGTTGGAGGTAGTGGTGGTGGGGTTAATGTAGGGGGTAGTGGTGGGGGTAGTGGTGGTGGGGGTAATGTTGGGGGTAGTGTTGGAGGTAGTGGTTGGGTAGTGGTGAGGGTAGTGGTGGGAGGCTGTGGTTGGGTAGTGAGGGGGTAGTGGTGGGGGTAGTGGTGGGGGTAGTGGTGGGGGTAGTGGTGGGGGTAGTGGTGGGAGGCTGTGGTTGGGTAGTGAGGGGGTAGTGGTGGGGGTAGTGGTGGGGGGTAGTGGTGGGGGTAGTGGTGGGGGTAGTGGTGGGGGTAGTGGTTGGGTAGTGAGGGGGTAGTGGTGAGGGTAGTGGTGGGAGGCTGTGGTTGGGTAGTGAGGGGGTAGTGGTGGGGGTAGTGGTGAGGGTAGTGGTGGGGGTAGTGGTGGGGGTAATGGTGGGGGTAGTGGTAGTGGTAGTGGTAGTGGAATGAGTAGTGGTGGGGGTAGTGGTGGGGGTAGTGTGCGGCTAAGTGCATGGAGTGGGGGTAGTGTTTGGGCAGTGGTGGGGGTAGTGGTAGGGGTAGTGGTGGGGTAGTGGTGGTGGGGGTAATGTTGGGGGTAGTGGTGGGTGTAGTGGTTGGGCAGTGGTGGGGGGTAGTAGTAGGGGTAGTGATGGGGGTAGTGGTGGGGGTAATGGTGGGGGTAGAGGTTGTGGTAGTGGTGGGGGTAGTGGTGGTAGTGGTGGGGGTAGTGGTGATCGTAGTGGTGGGGGTAGTGGTCGTTGCAGTGGTGGGTGCAGTGGTGGGTGCAGTGGTGGGGGGTAGTGGTGAGGGTAGTGGTTGTTGTAGTGGTGGTGGTGGTGGTAGTGGTAGGAGCAGTGTGTGTGTGTGTGTTGGGCGGGTGATGAGGGTAGTGGTGGGGGTAGTGTATGTGTGTGTGTGTTTCTTTTTAGAATCAGTCTATTTATTAGTATATGCTATTGTTAAAAAATACAGTTTGTTTATCACCATTGTACATGGTAAGCACGTACTGTATAGTTATCAGTGTATTGGGCCTACATATTTTAATAGGATACCATCTTAAAACTTGAAATGGGTGTTCATGCATTAAACAAAAGACTTGTTTGTGTCTTAGGGTCGTGGATTGTGCCTCAGAATAAGTCTTCACCATTAACGAGCCCAAAGATTCTATCGACTGGGAAATTCTGCAACACTACCGAGAACGCGACATTGGATTATACAGGCGACTTACAAACGTGCGACAGAGCTGCTTGCTTAGGTATAAACACATCCAGAGTTTCTTTCAGGCATCACTTGAGGGGCTATGCCCCCCCCCCCCGTCCCCCTTGAAAAACGTCTACCGCCCCCCCCCCGACCTCGAATGAAATATAAGGTATACAGAAAATATATACTTTTACCAGTGTCCGCTCCCCCCCCCCCCCCCCTCGGAGAAAAAAGTCTGTAAAAAACACTGAACACATCTATATACAAATAGTTATAAGCTTAGATCTAACGTGCTTAACGTAACTCACCGTGGCCTAGCAATATATATCTTGCTGCCAGTAGCCAATCTTTTGATATGTGACTTGTATAATTTACGACATAGTACGGCCCTTGTTAAGTTAACTAGTATTGAACTTTTTAATGTTAACTTTCAACAAACTGCTGACAACTTGAACGACACACGTCTCCATTTACCGTATGATATCACATGTTTTAATATACTTTTGATCAGGACGAATACGTGTAGGCAACAACACGACCTTTAACCCGAACGATCCACTCCCCTACAAATCCTGCAGCGACGTCCTGACCACGAACACCCCCAGAAAACTTGTCAAACTGACCAACGGGCTCATCGTCATGTGCGACACGGTCACCGACGGTGGAGGATGGACAATTTTCCAACGTCGCTTTTCCGGGGAGGTCGACTTTAACCGTAGCTGGATTGAATACAAGGAAGGATTCGGGGACTACGGATCCGGTGACTTCTACCTCGGAAACGACAACATCCACTGCCTCAGTTCCAGCAAACTCTACAAAATGAGAATCGACTTCACGTATCGCGGGGCAAGCTACGCCTACGTCTATCCTAATTTCAAACTCTACGGCGAATCAGATAAATATAAATTGTCGTTTTCCGGATACTCCGGACCGCGTCCGGATGTCAACGCGTATTTCAACAACGCGTTATTCTCAACGTACGACCAGGATAACGACGATGTACCGTCCGGAAGCTGCGCCAAAGCTTTTGGTAGCGGCTGGTGGCATCAGGATTGTTTTTTTAACGATCTCAACGGCAAGTTTGGGGGTACAACGGGCTCTGGGATTTACTGGTACTTGTTGACAAAATATGTCGACAGTCTCGACTTTACTGAGATGAAAATGAAACCACAATAAATTAAAATCATCAATAATTTGTTTAATTACTATAAGTGATTAATTTCTTTTCAAGTATTTTTACATGTAGCTTTTGCTGGTTCTATAATTGTAGATGTCAAAGCAAATTTGTTTTATCGAGCAGAGTGGATTTAATAAAGGGAATGTACATGATTTTTATTTTTGTTTGATATTACTGTGGAATTGTATCATATTTAATAAATTATTTTAAAGTATAAAGTCAAGTTATTGTTTAGACCTAGCGATCCGTTGGGTAGATAAAGTTTCATGACGTCGGGATATGAAGGGATATAGTGAACAACATTACGCCCATCTGCCTTTAATTCCTCAACATGGCCAAGGTACCCATTAGAGCTGGATGGACTCAGTGATGTCCTAGAGACATACGTCCAAACCGAGATCCGAACTCGAGACCATTCGGTATAGCAGCCAAACGCTCTAGCATTTAGTCAGACCATCCCGTTAATATATTATTCAAGTTTCTTTTTAAAACATACGTTGGAGCCTGTGTATTAAAATTCTCCAAATTCTTTCAAAAGGAAGTTATTGAAGTACCTTAGTGATCATTTAAGTTAATTATATTAATGGAATGTGTACAATTGTACGATCAGCTCGTTTAAAACAACTTGAGTGTATTCAGTGTAATGTTAGGGCAACAGGATTATTATCCTACATATCCCTATTTTTTGTGTGTGCGGGTTTTGGAGTAGGGTAAATACAAACAGTCTTAACCGGTAAAAGTTAAGGTAAAGATTATAGTAACATTTTTGTAACACGACTTTCAATAGGTCAAGTTCATGACAAAGGTATTTGGTTAGAGTTGTGTTCAAGTTCGTCACAAGTGTCAATGTCATAACCCATGACTCCCCATGGATAAATGTAACGGGATACCGTTAGGCTTATGGTGTAGGTTTAATGTGATGATCCACAACTCACCAGGGATAAATGTAACGGGTCCAGGTATATTGGTGTCCGTCTGCTGTAGACCACAAACGTGATGACGACGGGGTGGAGCAGGTACACGGCATAGGTCAATCTGGACAGCACGACGAAAGGCTGCCAGCTCAGGATGCTGTTAACCACACCTGGAAGTATTAAAAGAATATTCTGGAACCGAAGCTCTTCTATTCAACTTATTAATTTAAAAAAAAAAAATCAATTTCTGGAATACTAAGCAGAGATGAAATGCATTACGCTACACAATCCACTCAAATTAAGATCAGTTCAATCATATTAAACTGTATCTAGCTTACACCATCGTGTTTATTGTTGGCTAACAACGAAAATCGTTTTTATTTTGCAAGTCGTCTAAGATTTTTCCATATAATTTATAAAATGTAGTTTAGTACACATTTTATTCTACCAGCATTCTTGAATGTACTAACACGTGTATCATGAGATTTTTAGCTCAGTACTAGGAATGAACGGTTTCAGCATTTTAATTAATGTCCTGTTTATGAATGGATACAATCTACATACAAGGATACGATGAGCAGTATTACATTAGCCATATTAAAAATATTACATTATTTATACAAACATAGAAACGGACATTGGAAAATACATTCAATCAACCATTTGAACACCAATATAAAAAAGTATTAGAAAAGTTGTACATACAACTATAAAAACAATACATAAGAAGGTCTACAGACATGTTTACAGGCAGCTAAACAGCTAAACTAACTACAAATAAGTAACAGGAGAGGCGTGGCCACCCATCCCGGCGCCCGGGGACAAACTTTCGATTTGCACTTCCCCTCCCCCCGTCAAACTTTCGATTTGAACCCCCCTTCTCAAACTTTCAATTTGGTACCCCCCCCCCCCCCCTCAAACTTTCTATTTGCACCCCTCTCAAACTTTCATTTTGTTTTTCAAACCCATTTTGGCTCCCCCCCCCTTAGGTCGGCGCCCGGGGACGTATGTCGTCCCCCCCCCTCACTACGCCACTGAGTAACAGTGACACAATTCGTGTGAGTGGTACTCACCGCCAAGGCCAGTGCAGCAAGCGTAGACAACCCACGCCACACACACCGCCCACGTCGGTCTGACCAGTGCCTCGTACAGGGACTGTTGCCAGTTTGTCCAGTGGTCAGAATTTGGTCTCCACTGGGTGTGGTTGATGAAGACTAAAAATAGACCAACAACAATGGCGACCACCCACACTATTGAAGCATTGAACTGAAATAAAGAATGGGTAAGGTTAGAACTCTACGTTTGGACTTTTTTTCCCAACGAATCAGGAAAATATAGTATAGACTTTATATCACAAGAGTGCTTATATTACAAATTTCAAAACAAAATCGAAATGAGTTCGACTAATAGGCAGTTACATTTTGTTATCTAGACATTTTAACTATGCTTACAACTTAATCTTTAATTTTTGTACTGGCAAACTATAAAAATGAACCTTTTCGGTAAAGTTATCCAAATAAGTTGAAATTTATTGCAACATTCAATCGCTCCAGATATAAACACAGATATCAAAATAAAGTTGATTAACTGACGTCAATTTACAAAGTAATGTGTTTCAATCAATATCCTGTTTTCCATATTTAAAATAATTTCATAATTTGCTAAAATCCAATAGAATATTAAATATCAAATAAAAATTATTATAATAATCAGTATTACCTCTAAAACAGGAATAAGCATAGATCTTTTACAAAAAAAGTGTTATTATTTAATATTAAATAGATGTAAACCAATCAAGACATGTGGATCTCTTGTTTATACATTGATTGATAAGACACACATTTCTTACTCTATTTTCTGGCACATGACGTGGACTTTTCCTCACGTCTGTCCAGTAAGAGTGATGTGATCCTATGGTAAAACTTTCTCGCTAAACAGTCAACATATGTTTGTGGGACGGAGTAGCCAAATGGTAGAGCAAACAACTGCTAACCTGACAATCTCGAGTCCACCCAGCTCTGATGGGTACCTAACTCACGTTAGGGAATGTAAAGGCGGCTGGGTATAGTGCTGACCACACTATCCCTTCGGATGCCGAGGTCACAGAAACTCTACTTCAATTGCCCCATGGACCATCAGGTTCGAAAGGGAACATAACAACCTACGATGTTATCAGTATTCTTCACTCCCCGCTTGGGATGTGTCTTTTAATATTTGGTTTTTGATATTTTTAACAACTGAATGATTTAGTTTTATATCAACTCTGGATTTTTAAAACTCCATAACTAAAAATATACTACTTAATATATATATATATATATAAATATATATATATATATATATATATATATATATATATATATATATATATATATATATATATATATATGTATATATATATATATATATATATATATATATATATATATATATATATATATATATATACCCCTATATATATATCGGACCCATTCCCCCTATCAACCTCTACCAACATAACCTGTGTACTATACACCAAACATGCTGATGTTTTACTCTGCCAGCCACTACAAAACAAACTTACTGTGCTAGTCGCTAAAATAAAACAATTAAAAATGCACTTATTATTTAGAAAAATACGGTATTTTATAAGTTTTAATTTTTCCATTGAAGTTTCCAGAACCTGACGCTATATCAACATAATTTTTTTTTGGCGTTCACGATCTAAACGCTTATATAGGGTGATAGTCACTCGTGTAAATGTTTAACTCAAGGCTAGGTCTCAAGCAACGAAGTAAAGTTTTCCAGTTTGCTGATTACGAGTTCTGTGCCGGTGCCAAATTAATTGCGACTGCCTTGCCTGAAGACCCTATGTATCGGGGTTTCCGTTTGTAAACATGGACGTAAATCAATAATACAACGTTGAATTATTTTGTCCAATGTCTTTCAGCTTTGGGGGTCGTCTATAAATGACGTCTCACTGGTAGGGGGGAGGGGGTCCGTAATTTTGAGACGGTGTGTGATGAGGGGGAGGGGGGTGGGGGGTTTCAGATGGTGTGACGTCACACTTTTGCATAAAAAAATAATGTTATAAATCGAATATTAGCCGTTATTTCGCGTTTCAGAAAACTGTTTTAATAAACTGTAATATAAATTGATTAAAATACTCTATATTGACAGAGTTCAGATAAGATTTTGGAAAATATCAACTGCAATTTTGAGGGGAATTTTTGGCTAGATTTGACATCATTTGGGGGGGGGGGGGGGGGTTCTGGCTTTTTATGACGATGGGTGACGGAGGGAAGGGGGTGAAAATCGTCAAAAAAGGCGAGACGTCATATACGGATGACCCGTATGCTTTAAACTACCCATTCAATTATTGTAAAGGCCAAGAATAAAAGCAAAATTCCATCTACCAGAGAATTAAGTTGAATTACGGTCCTTATAAAGGGAAACTATAAAAGAAAATAGATTTATTTTACAAAAAGTTAAACGAATAAAACAAAAGTTAAAAAAAAAAAAACTAAAATAAGTATTGTAGTTTATTTTATAACAAAACAATAATCTATCAAATCAGAATCCATACGATTTTCCTTTGATATATTGTTATATTTTAATACAACAAATTTAATTAAATTCATAATGCTAAAAGTTTCCATGTAGTGTAAATTTATTGTCTATTTAATGTTTTTTTACTTGATAAAGTAACTGATACAGCGAAAAAACCACCATTATTTTGCTTAATTTAATAAAATGGTGTCTCATATTTTTTCTTTTCGTTTTAAAAGGTAATAAATTTTTTTTTAAAGGAATAAGGCTCGAAAAATTAAATTTTGATTTTGTGGATTACTTGTAACGTGTATTGCAATTGATCATTGATTAATATGTCATTTTAAATTCATTATTTTCTTATACGTATGTATTTTTAAAATTAATTTGTGTGAAATTGGGCGTTTTAGTAAGTTTTGCTTAGGGCTTTAAATAACATGCCGCCGGCATTGTTTTACGAGGGGCCATCGTTTTTATCAAAGAGATAGGTTTAAGTACATCAACATAAATTTCAATAATGTTCAGTTTAGACATTAAAACACCATCATCAATGTATGTAAGAGTAATTAGGCCTAGATCTATATTGACTTTCGATAAAAACAGAAACTAGCGACAGTAACTCACCAAAGACATGAGTGGCTTCCCCTTGTGTTCTGTGATCGCCACCCCTAGCAACAGACCCACGGCGTAGACAGACATGCGCGTATAGGGCATCGTGTACACTTTGCTCCAGTATTCAAAGAAACGTAAATCCATGCTGCGGAATTTATTAATTTACATTTGAGTTGTCTAACCTGAATTTGAATTGTTTGACATTTAATTTGAGCCATCTTTCTTGAATTTGAATAGTTCAAAAAATTTTGAATTTTTATGTCAAAATAGGAATTGTTAAACATATGTTAAAATGGAATTGTTTAACCTGAATTTTGTGTTGCGCTATAACAAGTGTTTTTAGCTGCTTCGGGTAAAATGAAGGATTGCTTTTTTTTTTAAATTTAAAATAATTATATTAGTTCATTTAGCTTAGTGCTTCGTAAAAATAAATGCTGTTTGTATTGAATGTTTGAAGTTTAATCTAATAAAATCAAAAGATTGTTAAATTGATTCTAATTTAATATATACGTATTTTTATTGTTGACTAAACAATACTTTTTTAAAAGTGAAAAAAAAAGTATTAGCAATTCAAGTTTGGGCGCAAATTGTTTATTTTCTGAATATATCTCAAAACAGAGCTAACACTGGAGAGAACAAAAAAATTATAGTGCAACTTACAGTACGAATTGTCCGCCATTTACGTATTCGGCGATGAATGCTGAGACAATGCCGCCTAGTAGAAGACCAACTGTCAATGCCACTCCTAGTTTCCTCTTCCTGACGGAGGATGTAGAGTTTTACTGAACATCTTACAAGTGTGTAAGTGGTTTTTTTTTTTAGTATACCGGGTATTCCATAACAGGTGTTGATTTTTTCAGAGTCTGGTGGTGAGGGGGTTGGGACTTGTGTTCTAATGTTTGACGGGGAGGGGGGCGAAAAGGCCAAGTCGTACTTTTGCTTATTAGACTTTTTGAAAAGTGTTGTGATATTAATCCATCAATTCCTGCTCATTTTATATTTTAGCAAAAGAAAAGCTTTTATATATTGTCATGTAGATGAGAGTGGGGGGGGGGGGGGGGTTAAACGTTAATGTGTTGCCTCATTTTATGAGGGGTGTGGTATTTTTCCGATTTGCCGACGATGGGGAGAGGGGTGGGGTGGAAAATCATCCAAATAGCCTGGATTTCTTGATGTACGCCTCCTTATAGTAAGGGCATGTGTCAGAACACAGGGTTCTTAACAGTTGCAGTTGTAGATGCAAATAAGTTTGGTAACTGAACTCACTGAACTAATTAGGCAACGTAATGTTACCTGTGTGTGATGTAAACAAAGATGGACGACAGCACGTAGAGCTGCATGTCAACAGACATATACCAGGACCACGTCATGCACTGAAAGGTAACGGATTCAATGTCAAGGTCATACATTGAAAGGTAACCAGGTCATACACTGAAAGGTAACCAGGTCATACACTGAAAGGTAACACATTCAAAGTCGGGTCATAAACTAAAAGGTAACACCTAAATGTTACCTGAAAGGTAACGTATTCAATGTTAGGTCATATACTGAAAGGTAACACATTCAATGTTAGGTAATACACTGAAAGGTAACATATTGGGCTGTAAACATAATTTAATGTAATGTGCCGTCTATACAGTGTAGGCTACAACAATTTCTCACAAAAGCTTGTTCAGTAACTCTTCCTAAACTCTTTTTGGGTAAGCTTTCTCTGTAAGCCACTGCATCCATAACGAATTGACTACATAACTGGGCTTGATACTGACGATTGTATGACGTTGTATTAAGGTACTCACCTTCTTGTCTGGCCTGTAGAAGTTGTTGAAGTACAACATATGAGACCACCACTTGTCTTTACACTGATAGAACTCTTCAAACTCGTCTGCCTTTAGAGGTCCTTTCACAATGTGGTCGTAGAGGTTTGTCCCCACAGCCAGAACTATCATGTAGAGGGGGGTCAACCTACAGGATAGACATTAGGGGGTCAGTCTACGGGAGAATATTAGGGGGGGGGGGTCAACCTGCAGGATAGACATTAGGGATTATTCTAAGGGACATACATTAGATCTAGGAGTCGTGTATCGGATAGACAGTTGGGGGGTCAGTCTACGGGACATACATTAGATCTAGGAGTCAGTGTATTGGATAGACAGTTGGGGGGTCATTCTACGGGACATACATTAGATCTAGGAGTCGTGTATCGGATAGACAGTTGGGGGGTCAGTCTACGGGACATACATTAGATCTAGGAGTCAGTGTATTGGATTGACAGTTGGGGGGTCAGTCTACGGGACATACATTAGATCTAGGAGTCAGTGTATTGGATTGACAGTTGGGGGGTCAGTCTACGGGACATACATTAGATCTAGGAGTCAGTGTATCGGATAGACAGTTGGGGGGTCAGTCTACGGGACATACATTAGATCTAGGAGTCAGTGTATTGGATAGACAGTTGGGGGGTCAGTCTACGGGACATACATTAGATCTAGGAGTCAGTGTATCGGATAGACAGTTGGGGGGTCAGTCTACGGGACATACATTAGATGTAGGGGTCAGTCTACGGGACATACATTAGATGTAGGGGGGTCAGTCTACGGATTGACAGTTGGGGGGGGTCAATCTACGGGACATAGATTAGATCTAGGGGTCAGTCTACGGGACATACATTAGATGTAGGGGGGTCAGTCTACGGATTGACAGTTGGGGGGGGGGTCAGTCTACGAGACATAGATTAGATCTAGGGGTCAGTCTACGGGACATACATTAGATGTAGGGGGGTCAGTCTACGGGATAGACATTAGGGGTTCATCCTACAAGACAGACTTTAGATTAAAGGTGGGGGGGGTGGTGTGAGTCTATAGGACAGACATTAGGTGGGGACACTCTACAAGACAGCCATTAGGGGGTCAGTCTACAGGAAAGACATTAGGGGGTCAGTCTACAGGAAAGACATTAGATGTAGAGGGGGGAGGGGTAGGTCAGCCTAAGTACATACTTTGGATTTCAAATCATTGCTAGGGTGTTTGTTATTTGGTGTATAGATCTACGCTTGTCAAAGTGTATGAATCTGTACAAGACAATACAGCCCGAAAAAAAATGTGACAAACTAGTTCAAACCCTGTCTTCACTCACCGCCAAAATCGATGTACAAAATACATGAGCCAGAACTTAGGTTTACACTTGACTTCCATCGTTCTCAATGTTATGACCATCACTAGAAACCCACTGAAATACATGTGGTCACTTACAATTAGCTATTGAACTGTTTCCTTAATTGTAGTCAATAGTCAATCACTAGTAAATCATTGTTTTTGTAAAAACTTAGTAGGCCTATAGGCGACGTTGTCCTTTAAAATTCAAACTGTTTTGATTACACGCTTTACTTTTCAAACATTTATATATTGATGAACCTAAAGAACGTATCAAACACACGAACACCTTTAGTAATGGCAAAACACATCTGTCACCTGATAACAAAACACACCTGCCACTAACCTGATGACAAAACACACATGTCACCTACCTTATAACAAAACACACCTGCCACTCACCTGATGACAAAACACACATGTCACCTACCTAATAACAAAACACACCTGCCACTCACCTGACGACTAAACACACCTGTCACTCACCTGATAACAAAACACACCTGTCACCTGACGACCAAACACACCTGTCACCTGACGACCATACACACCTGTCACTCACCTGATAACAAAACACACCTGTCACTCACCTGATGACAAAACACACCTGTCACCTGACGACCAAACACACCTGCCACTCACCTGATAACAAAAAACGTATCAACAGCCAGGTGAGCTGATCCAACCAGGTGAAAAGATATTCTCGATGACGTCTCAACCAGTTCCACTGTGTTTTCTGCTCGATGAGATTTCAATTAACATAATCACATTAATTACCAATCAAGCACAAATAAATATTTAACTCGTATAATCCCAGTATACATTCAAACACGGAAATCACTATTTAAAATCATGTACTAGACCAGTTCTCCTGTGTGAATCTTTCCGTGCTTTAATGTTTAAGCATTCGACTTCCAACCCCAAAGTTGTATAATCTATGATTTCTTTGACTCGACCCAGCACTGGCAGACACCTGACTTAAACCGTGAAAGTATATGCGGTTGGGCACAATGCTGACCACACAATCCAATCGTCTGCTCAGGTTTTTTTTAAGCTGGTGAACTCTACTTCACCTACTCTATTGATCGTCAGGTATGTGTCGGATTTTTGTTAATGTCCTGTCAAATGTCAGGAATCCCTAGCTCCGGCCACCAGCTCTCCGCGTCTGGTGGTATTTTAATTGCAATGGCAAAATATAGTGTAACATGGGTTGCAATGGCTAAATATAGTATAACATGGGTTGCAATGGCTAAATATAGTATAACATGGGTTGCAATGGCTAAATATAGTATAACATGGGTTGCAATGGCTAAATATAGTATAACATGGGTTGCAATGGCTAAATATAGTATAACATGGGTTGCAATGGCTAAATATAGTATAACATGGGTTGCAATGGCTAAATATAGTATAACATGGGTTGCAATGGCTAAATATAGTATAACGGGATAATCAACTCACTGAAGATAGTGTTACTCTCATCCAGTAATCCACCATACGTGTATCCATGACCCGCTATTATCCATGCCATGCTGATAACTTTCAGACCCTGAAATAGATCGTGTGTGAATCTTACGAATGTTCTCAAACTCTCTGATACTGAGGAAGCTATGTTTCCTCTACATTATTGGTTTTTGCTTTTAAGGAGCAAGGATATTATAACCTAAGCGATTAACATCGTTTGGTTTACATTAAATAAGGGTAAACATTCGAAGATCCATTGTTTTGGCTTTTAAAAGAAATGAAAAACTAACAAAAGAATTGTCTGGCCTGTATAATACAGATCTGTTATATATAAGGGCTTTGAACATACTTTATTTTATTGTAAGTAGTAAGTAGTAAAATTCTCTTTGAAGGATGGCGTTACATTTCAGTGCATGGGGCAATGAATTAGAGTTCACCTGTTTCTGTGACCACGGCATATGAAGGGATAGTGTAGTCAGCACTCTCCGCTATGCATACAGGCTTATTTTTTTTTTTAATGATTCAGTTTTGTGAATTAAAATTTTAAAAATACGAGCAGTAATGCATTGTTTTTCGTTATTTATTTTTCTAATCTGTATTTGTTTTCCTAATTAATTTTCCTACTTGATGCTAGCCTTCCGAAATGTATACTACGATGCGTTTAGACCATCAGGGCTGAGCTGATGTTTTACGAAACGTATCACTAAAGAACGCATGCATGACTGGACCGGCATTGATGGTGTACCTGTACACATGTGAACGTTTCCTTGCTGTTATCCGTTGAAATCAGACGCAGGAAGTTACTGTACAGTGAGAAACGGCTTGCCAACAGGTGCACTGGGATAGGTTAAAAAATGCACATTGTTACGTTTTTAATAATATGGGGGGCATCCATAAATGACGTCACGCTTTGTTTGACGATTTTTACTTCCCCTCTCCCCCCTGTCACACATCGTCACAAAAGCCAGACCCCCCCCCCCCCCCAAAGTGACGTCACACCTCAGTATACAACCCCCTTCAAAATTGTAGTTGAATTTTTCTTAAAACATCGATATTTTTCCTAAATTTTTCCTGAAATATGTCAACATAGAATATGTTAATCAGTTACTAATACAATTTATTAAAACAGTTTTCTAAAACGCGAAACAACGGTAAAAATTCGTTTTCTAACATTGCTTTTTTTTATAATGCAAAAGTTTGACGTCACATCATCTGAACCCCCACCCCCCTCCCCTTCATCACACACCGTCACAAAATTACGAACCCCACTCCCTCCTAAGAGTGTGACGTCTTTTACGGACAACCCCTATTGCAAATTTAAAAAAAAATATTTTCTATTAAATTAATATATGTGTACTTATAAAGGTACGCTAGTTTGCTTCAAAAAGAAACTACCTCTGTTCTGTTTTTCCGTCACATCACTTTCACGCGCATTTACTTGACCTTCACATTTGCCGTTCACGTTTGCTTCCACGGTGCCGTTGGTGTCGCCGCTAGTTCCTTCCGGTTTGGTCGGCTCTGGAACCTCCTGACTGACCGCGACTTTTTCCCTGATCTCCTCCACATCGACATGACCACCGTCGTTCTCACTGACCACACTCACCGTCTGCAAACTACCGGAAGTGTCGTCAGAGCTACTTCCGGTTTTACTTTCATCTGGGGCCGGAACTTCCACTTCAAAGGCAACTGTTCGACGGGATCGAGATAGCAGTACTATAAATAGCGCTACTTAATTCACAAATTTTATACTTGGTTGGGATGTTACTTGTGATATTAAAAGCTTAAAAACTCAAAGATTTTAAAATCGTATTTTTCATAGAAGAGTTATATTAACTTACATTTTGTTTTTATTTTATTTTTCTGTCGTACTGATTGGCAAACATTTAATGTAGTGACTATTAATGTTGTTTTAAAAATCATGGCTGTTTCTTATACAAAACGGTGAAAAAAATGTAATAAAGATTGTTCTGATAGAAAAAGAGATACGACAGTACCTTTATGACAAGACTGTTCTAATAGAAATATCACAGTACCTTTAAGAAAAGATTGTACCAATAGAACAGAGCTATGATTGTACCTTTATGAAAAGACTGTCCTAATAGAGATATAACAATACAGTTATGAAAAGATTATTCTAATAGAGCTATGACAGTACCGTTATAAAAAGAATGTCCTAATAGAATAGAGCTAAGACAGTACCTATATGACTGTCCTAATAGAGCTAGGACAGTACTGTTTTGAAAAGATGGTTCTAATAGAACAGAGATATAACGGTACCGTTATGAAAAGATTACTAATAGAGCTATGACAGTACCGTTATGAAAAGATGGTTCTAATGATATGACAGTAACGTTATAAAAAGATTGTTCCAATAGTGCTATGACAGTACCGTTATAAAAAGATTGTTCCAATAGTGCTATGACAGTACCGTTATGAAAAGATTGCAAACAGATTCCATCAGTACTCCTCTCTCTGACGTGTTTCGTTCCTCTGTGGTTCCAGTAGGGTGCATACACGTAGTAGACATCGATCAAGGTGAAGGACGAGATCACGATCAGGAAACAAGCTAAGATTATGCTGTCGAGGTATATACAATTTAAGAACACATTAAAGCTGCAAAGCTCAATTAATACATTAAACCAGTGGTCGAAAAGTGTTAAACAAACAACAGGTCGTTAACAGTACAAAAATGGTTCACAAACTTAAACAGTAAAAGCAAAAAGAAAGATATTCAAACCTACACAGTAACCCAAAAATAAGGTTTTTAAACTTACATTGTAACCGAAATAACAATTTTTTAAACTTACACAATAACCTGATTTGATATCAAACTTAAAAATAGATTTTCAAACTTACACAGTAACCAAAAATAGATTTTCAAACTGACATAATAAACAAAAAATACATTTTCAAACTTACACAGTAACCAAAAATTAGATTTTCAAACTTGCACAGTAACCAAAAATAGATTTTCAAACTTACACAGTAACTAAAGCACCCGCGTCTTCGGGGAGTGTCGGCTCGTTGAAGCAGATGACATTGTCGACATTCAAATTAAATGCACGCATTGCACCTGAAAATATTTGTTTGAAAAATATTTAGAAAGCTAAAGTTTAATTATTGAATGTATGTTATAACCATACGACGTATGTGTAGAAGTAATATTTTACATACTCTGTTATGATAATTAATTACATCGGATGACACACAATATAACGAATCCTGTTGAACAGGGTAGATAAAGTAGAGTTTATTTGTTTCTGTGATATGACATGGGAAGGGACGTTGTGACCAGTTGTATGCCCAGCAGCCTTTACCCTCCCTAGAGCCAGATACTTACTAGAACGTGGTGGGCTCATGGCACTCGTGGGGACTCAAGCTACGGATTGAAACTCCAGACTTAAGCGCTTAGAGTAGTGCTCTCTACCGTCCAACAATGCCGCCCCATATAATATAAAGTACTGTTTTATTTTGTATCATAAAAATGGTTGAATCCAAATTGCTGAATGTATTATAAAAATAAACTGTACTTGCTTTCTACGTATGTATGTATGTATTTAACATGAATAGTATTTGTTATAGGATTCTAGTCTTACCATGCAGGGGTGGAGGCTGAGGAACGCATAGTGGACAGTTTCTGACGGGGTTACACAGAAAAGAAATAAATATAATTTTATGAAAATGTGCTTTTATCCAGTATGTTTAATATCGTAGTAACATGATATACGAATTTCGGAAGAGTGCGCTGTAAAGTAAGTTGGTGAAACCAAATTGAACTTTTGTATTAGATCATCCTATTGTCGTGGTCGTAAAGGGTCTAGGACATTATCCCCCCACCCCACTCTCTCGTCGAATACATTCCCCCCCCACCCCGTGACATTCCCTCGATATTACCGACCCCGCCCTGTCGATACCACCACCTCATCCTGAAAAACCATGACCCTAACATTAAACCCAAACCCTAACCGAAAATCTATAGCTAACCCTAACTCCAACATTAATCCTCACACCAACTCTAAATCTACATTTAAGCCTACATCTAACCCTGACCCTAACACTAACCCTAACACCGAACTGATTTCTAATCTTAATCCTAACACTAGCCCTAACCGTAACCGGGCAGGGGTGGGCAATTGCTGCGGGGGGGGGGGGGGTAATGTTGGAGGGTGGGGGGGGGGGGGGGGGGGGATGTCCGGGGTATTTAACAGATCGCGTGCCAAATTCTAGCGGCGATCCTGGCCTCAGTACTGACCTGTGGTTAGAAAGGTTAGTTTTATTTTAACTGACCTCAGTACTGACCTGTGTGACCTCCCTACTGACCTGTGTGACCTCCCTACTGACCTGTGTGACCTCCCTACTGACCTGTGGTAAGAAAGGTTAGTTTTATTTTAACCGACCTCCCTACTGACCTGTGGTTAGAAAGGTTAGCAGATCGTCTCTGTAGCAGGAGTCAGGTAAACACACGCCCCAGTTGTAGCTCAGGTGGAAACTTTGTTTCTCCGTCCAGTACTTGTTGGCGTCTACCTGTGGGAAGATCCGGTCAACCCTTCGGTTAGGTTGGTGGTATGACATAAATAAGGGAAGATGAAGTAGAGTTTACTTGTTTTTTTTACTCAACCATGCGATCAATGGATGCTCCTATTTTCATCTTATTGGATTAAAATTGTGCACCCTGTCACTCGCCCATACCCTCCCATAGTATTTGCCAACGTGGATAGAAATGAACATAGTAGGAAAAAAACGAGATCGTGTCCTTATATTATAGTAATGATCAGAAAGGGGAGAGTACTATGATTAATCTGAAGTTATATGTAGGTAAGAATGTTGACGAAAGAGATTTTATAAATTAAAATGGGGAGATAACCTTAGGGAGCAGGGATCGAGCTTTAGTGATGAAATATGACGGGGGAAAGACTGGATTAAAAATGGATAATGTTACACTTTGTCATTTAAAATACAACTTTTTAAACTTGTTTTTAGAAATTATGCCGAATCTTTTAGATTTTTAATATAAAATATTAGCGACGAAATTGTAGGTGAAAGGGGGGGGGGTATCAGACTTGTTGTGAGGTTAAAGCTGGGTGTGGAGCTAAAGGAAACAAATTAACGATCCTGATATTATGTACTAACCTAGTATAAATAGGAAGATCGGAGACTGAACAAGAAGGTCTTTCATCTGGACTATGGCTTAATACATTGGTGAATAAACAGAATAGTGACTAAACAGAGGCGTACCGAGGGGGGGAGGGGCGGGGGGTGCGGAACACACCGGGTGACACCATTTAGGGGGGTGACACCAAGGCAAAAAATAGCATAATATATAGAGACAAATTTAAGGGGGGGGGGTGCAAATCGAAAATTTGAGAGTTTGTCCCCGGGAAGGGTTGCTACGCCTCTGGGGGGGGGGGGGTGACACCATTAAGTGCCGCACCGGGTGACACCCGACCTCGCTACGCCACTGTGTATAAATACGGCTTAGACTAATCAATGTGGAGACTAAATATAACGGTGATTAAAACTTAAGACGACTAAATAAGTTTGGAAAACCTGCCACCAACCGGAAGGTCCAGGTAAAAATCTCGAGCTTTAAGCTCCACCCTGCAGTAGCGGGCTCCGAACTCCCGACTTCCCGTCTCCTGGGCCGACGCCCTATCAGCCTTGACCTTGGCCCTCACAGACATGCATTCGTCGTAGTTTCCCTCCATCTGCAGAACTCCCGCCATCAGACCAGCAGACGGTTTGCCGAAAGCATCGAACACTGGAACCAAAACAATAACCTTTTTTTTTTACATCTGCTTTCTTTTTATTGTAGAAGATAGTTTTAATTTTCTTTAGGATATTATAAAAAGCTAGAGTGAGCTTAAATAAACTTTATCCTTTATTCGTGTATAACAGGGAGGGTAAATTATTAAAATTTAAAGGGGACGTCCAAAAAAAAAATGACCATTCGCCCCTGTCTAGGGAGGAGGGTGATTCTGTATTTCGTGAGAAAGGGAAAGATTGAGATATAGAAAGAGAGAGAAAGCGAGAGAGATAAACATACTACGATTTCCCACTTGGACAAAGGCAACTTAATCCATTACCTCCCCCCCCCCCTCCCCTTGGAATAATTCTGCGGACGCCCAATTAGAACAGGCATCTCATCATCGCTCGCAGGTCATTGCAGGTCATGTATAGGAGACATAGTTAGATAATTAATGAGGTCATGAAATCTAACTTTGCTAATGGTCTAACATTTCACCAGGCCTTAGTAATTACGAACTTTGCTCTCAATTAAAATGTGTTATGTATTTTACTTTATATTTTAGTAATGTCATAGTGGATCTCTAGGCATCCTTTTAGTCCGTATAAGAAATGTAAAATTATAAAAAAATATAAAAAATCATAATAAATCAAAATAAAATAGATTCTACTCATCATTGTATAATCGAGAAGCTTTTTAGTAAAGTAACAACGTTTTAGATGAAATTAGCAACAACATTTTTTGTCAAAATATATATTTTTTACATCTCCCTCGAATATATAAATTGTAAACCTGCGGTTTAATCCTTACTGGATTGCTTGTTTAAAAAAAAATTGATTTGGTAGTATTTCGTTTCATTTAGCACTTTTAATTTTGATTTTCTGACAGCTAACGATTAAATGTCTTTGGGCTGTGAAATTAATTTATTTCTGAGTGCTAAAAATATGATGTATTTTTTTTCTACATTTTAGCTGACAAAACGACAACACTGTTAACTTGTAGCCTTATACGAAAACAACACAAAAATGTTTGTTTAAAATACAACCGAAATTTGACATGCCATAATTAAACAGCTAAAATGTGACACATTTGGCACCACAACAAACAAGCAGACAGGTAAATTAAGTGTCAATCAATATTTGGCACGTATATTTAGATAACAAATAAGAATTGATGTTGACTTAGGAA